ATGGCTTTGTTTTGCAGCCTTGTTACGTAACAATGGTGGTGATGATTATTATTTTCTTCCAATAAATTTATTTAACAAAATCCACTAGCTTTTTATTTATTTTTTACTCACAAGATACTTTGTATTAATGTATGAAAAGATTCGGCCTTGAAGTCATCAAGCCATCCAGTGAATTCTCAAGTGGTATTTGTGATCAAGTCGTAGATTCCTACTCTAACAAAAATCTCACAACTCACATATAAGCTTATCACATGCTGGCCAAACAAAATATACCAGGATAATAACTTTAAGTGAAAATTCCCTAAGAATGCATTGCTGCCTAGAATCACTAACATCCACAGCTCTTTTAAGATTCTAATTTAATTTTAATTTAATTTTAAGATTCTAATGTAAGATTCTTTTATACCCAAATTTCAAAGTATTATAAAAGCTTGTATTTTGTAAAAACTTTTAGCACTTCAATAAGAGCCCTGATCAAGAAACAATTATACAATAATACAGACAAATGTGAATTTGTTCACAGGAAATAAAAATATGATTCCTCAATAAATGTATACACACACACACACACACACACACACATGCATAGGATGATTCCTTATGTCTGAACAATACATTGATATCTGATCTTCTTGAAGCCTATTTGATTGGCCATCACTACCATACCACTATAAACTGCATGTATTCAATTCTATCAATCCACTTCTAAGTAGTTAGATTGCAGTACTTAACTAATTTCCAATGGAGAGTTATTTAAAAAAGAAGAATTAAACTGTTACACCAAGCAGGAATTTATAATATTCTATCAAGAATTTATGTCAATGTTAGGAAGTTAGGAAGCTTGAGTATTCATAGAATTCATAGAATTATAAAATCATAAGGCAAAGAGGGCCTTGGAGATCTTCTAGTCCAACCTCCTACCCAAGACCTTATGTTATCTGGGAAACTCTCATAAAAATCTGAAGGTTTTTTTGATCTTGCAAAAGTTAAAAATAATAAATATTTTAAATTAGTTCACTTGGGTCTCAGTTTTCCATGTTTGTTCCTGAAAACCTCATATAATCCGTCTGCCATTGAATCTTAATGGGATTATAAGGTTCTTTTTTTGTCAAGTTTCCCTGTTCTCCATCTTAGTATTTAACAAACAGGGAGCAATAGAGGGAAACATTTCTCCTATTTCTCCATTTCTCTGTTCTTTTGGCATTATGATTTCTAGCAAGTATGAAGTATATATATTAGATATATGAACATAAATGCATACAAATGTATTGCATAAAAATATTTACATGAGTAAGTGGAATCTTCAGGATTGATTTCAGAGGGAGATGGCCAACTGACACTGTTTTTTTGGTCTAACTGTACATGTTTTTCTATCAATTCTAATTTCAATTATTTAAATTGAGTATTCAATGAAATCAATGTTTCACTTAAAATTCTACATCTCCTTTTTATTATTTTGCAGCTGACATTTTTCTGCTGTTTGATTCTTGTTGGCTCAATGGCAAAATCATGTAAAAAGCCACAGAGTTCCGACCTAACTTTTATCTAGACCAGACATGTCCAATCTGTGGCCAACAAGCCAAGTTATCTTCATTCAATGAGACCTAGGAAATCCAAAAAGTTGGACACCCTTGATCTAGACAAATGTCTATCATTTCAACTGTTCCAACTAAGGTGAAAGTATGCCAAGGTAACTTGGAAAAGAAGGATGGTATTCACCAACGAGAGTATACATGTGATGAGATAATTTGTAATATAATTAGTAAAAAAAGGAATGGATATAAATTGCTAAGAAAGAATAATATTCCAAAGAAATAAATAACTTGCAAAATGTACAGCTTCTCTTTAGTTGAACTCTGCCTCCAAAGACTATATAGAAAAATTTATCATGTTTTGTGGAAAAAATGCAGAAGCAATTTTAAATCTCCCAATCTACCTTAATCCCTGATATTCCCAGAATGTCTTTTATCCAAATATTAACCAGACCCATTCTGCTTAGATTTTAAACTCAGACAATGCGAGGCTCTATCTCCTAAAACTCATTGTTCATTTATTGATCCCATTATCCATATTTAACAATATCAGTGAATGGTAAGAATGATAAGTAGAATTTCACTTCCAAAAAATCATGGAATTACCAGATTAGCATTGTAATATTTAGGCTGACACGTACTGATAAGATAGTACGTGATTAATTCAAACATTGTGCATTTAATATTTATTTAATATATATTTCCTAATATATGATAAAAAATATTAGCAAGGAATAAAATACATTATCCTTTAATACTGTTCTGTCTGTGACAACTACAATACTTCATAGAATTGGGATAGTCCCAACAATTAATGGACAGAGCAAGGATAACACACAAAGCTTTTATTTCATTTCTAATCTCCTGTCCTACAAAGCTGCATTGTTACTGGCTATTTCCTGAAAGGGGTTTTAAAAATCTTGTAAAATACTTTTTTATTTTAATGCTAGTGTCAATAAAGTGTCACTGAGATGTGTGCTTAAATGTATCAGAATATCTGCTCTATAAAGAAATTATGAGATCCTCTCACAGAAGTTAATATTTTCCCTTTCTACACTGTCACAACCTGATTTATGTAGCTTTTATAGCAGCATGAGGCACAAAACACAAAGTTCCACTGATAAAACAGCAAAAATTGCAGAGGCTGTGTAACAAACTTAAGAACTCATATTACACAGTAAGGGTCCCCAACTCCAGGACCACTGGTCCATGGCCTTTTAGGAACCAGGCCAAGCAATGGGATTCATTTAGGTTTACCACTGGTTCTCAACTATGAGGGTGTGCATGCACGCTCGCAGCACATGCACCTTCCGTAAATGTGTGTGGCCTTCTGCGCATGTGATTTGTTCACTTGTGGGGCATGCATGGATGCATGCGGCATCAAAAATGAGGCTACATAGGATGTTTTGGAGCCGGGGCAGGTGAACCGGTCTGAACCAACTGAATATTACCCCTCACCAGGCCACACAGGTGGAGGTGAGCAGTGGGTAAGCAAGCAAAACCAAATAATCCCCTTCTAGGCTGTGGAAAACTTGTCTTCCACAAAACCAGGCATTGGTGCCAAAAACGTTGAGGCCTACAGTTCTACAAGATAACATATCAGGATCCATGGAGGATCCATGACTGAAATAAAAGATATTCGACCAAATTATACCTTCTCTTTGTTGTAAAAAAGATTGTTTCATATTTTACAGAAATAAGCTGCCTTAATCTTGAAAAAAGGGGCATAGAGTATACTGGGTCTTTTTATTGCTTCACGTTATTCTAAAGATATAAACTGCAGCTACTGTCATATGTTTCTGAATTGCTCACAAGTAAAGAGAAAATTAAATACTTCTTTCTAAGCGCTTCTTTCTGATCAAAGCATTTTAACAACTGTGGGAACCATCACTTGACTTGAACTTCTGAAATAAAGAGAGACTATTCAATGAGCCAGTTCGGTTTAGTGGTTGGGGTGCCGGCCTAAAAATCAGGAGCCAGGGATTTCTAGTCTCACCTTAGGCATGAAAGCCAACTGAGCAATTTTGTGCCAGTCATTTTCCTTTGGTCCAATTCACCTCACAGGGTTGTCATTATTGTAGGGAAAATAGGAGAAGGAAGGGGAATTATGCATATTTGCTGACTTTGGTTATTTTTAAAATATATTTTTTTAATCTAATAAAGAAATAAAAGTATAGCTGCATTTGATGTTCTCTCCTAATTTTTCACAGAAAACTACTGTAAGAAAATTCTCAGCATTTTTCAGAGTCCCTCATGATGCTGTATTTTTATTTCAGCATAATATTTAAATGAATGCCCAGAATGAATTATTTTTATATCATAATCAAAACGTTCTGTGGAACAAAAGTCTTCTATTTATCAAGAATTTTAAAAAGCGAATAAAATATATTTCCTCTACAATGACATTGCCTTTTAATCAATTTAAAGTGAAATTCTTGATAGTTATGTCAACTAGTCAAAACACAGAATCAAATCAGTTTACAATCCAGGATTCTATTTATAAATGTATGTTTGGACTTTTCCCACCAGGATGATGTTAAATATACTGTAAATGCAATTTTTTCTCTGCTAATGGTAATTTATTCTTTTCAATTACTTACATTACTGAAGAAGTGTCAGAATTGGACTTTATATCACAAACTTGCAAATTTTGGCACCGAATCATATGTGTATCATGGCTCATTTAATTTTCCAAGTACATTTAATCACAGAACCTGAATACCGGAATTCTATCTCAATAGAGTAAGCATTGATATTTTAATTCAGCTCCCTGACAGAATATGGCTTAGGGCCATTATTGGTAATATATTCATTTTACCCATCACCTGTTTTTTTCTTGGGTTGTTTTTTTTTTTGATGTGGTGCAATATAATACACTCATGTTCAGCAACAAATCAAAAATATGTGCTATATTTTATATAACTAACTTTATTTAACACTACCTTGACTGTGAATTTTTTTTTCCTTCCATGTTTGAGTGAAAAACTACCCACAGAATGCTGTCATGATTTCAAATGCTGCTAGTCTATAAATTAAAGTCTTGCAACTAGCAAAAACCATTTCTAATTATCAGACTAAGATGAAACACTAGAAACTTTTTATGAGGCTGTGACAGAAATAAGTTACATTTTTGCAATCCAGTTTCATATTAGGACAGAATACATAAAATGGTAGAAGCTAATTCTAATTTATATATTATATATATAAAAATTAGAACTAAGTTCTAGCATTTTCATCTTGACTAACTGAGCTGTATTCAGAAAAGATTTCTTAGGAATCAGTCAGTAAGATTTTCTGGTGAAAGAATCATGTTTTTCTATTTCAAATATATACAGTCTTCTTATAAAAAAATAAGCTGTCCATAATTGTTCTGGAAATGGGCAGTCAATCAACCAACCAACCTACAAATCAATCAACCAGATAAAAACAGAAACCAATATATCTAAGAAAACCTATACGATACATTACCTTCCGCTTCGAGCACTGAAAGGAACTACATGGATCCCCAAAGGTCCGCCATCATTGGAAACTTCAACGAGCTTCACCATATCACTGTGAGATAATGATAAATGAAGGAACGTGAACATGGACCAAAAAATGACAAATACACTTCTACAAAAACACAAACTCAAAAACGAACACACAGATATTTGAAAATTAGTATAGATAAAAACATTGATTCCTACATACCTCAGTAATAATCTGACAGCATGAAAAAATAATAATTTCATTAGTTATTTCAAGCAAAATGCATTTGTATAATCATAAGCCAATATACAAATTGTATTATGTCCAATAATTAAATAGGTTTGAGATTACTTTTCTAGGAATTAGGTGTCAAAACAAGACTAAATCAATTTGTTTTAAAGAAAACAGAAAGTTCCATTTCTTTTTGTTTTCCAGTATGTTTCCATAAATAACTTTTAAAATAAGATAAATATTGTTTTAGCATAATTACCACTATAATTATTTCCAAATTTTATAACTCAAGAGTTGATAATATAAATCTCTCAGTCCTTTGGTTCTTTAATTAAAACATAAATAGTCATCCTTAATTAATATTAAAAATCAGGATGAATTGATCCCTTTCAAACCACATGTTTGTTTTTTTTAAAAACTGATCCAATGTAACACTGTATATCAATCTGAACTTAACCATCAAATTGAGAATTATCAGAATAATATGCACTCAATTCAATAATTCCCCATAATCACTTTAATAGTCCTATAAGAATCAAATCAGTGAGTGAATTTGCAAATGCAATGTTCAAACTATAATGCAAAACTGTTTTTTGCCCTGGTATGCTTAACATTCACTGACAAGTTCTCACACATCACCAACATAGCAGACAATTTCCAACTGTCTGCAAATTCTGACACTCTTCTAAACTATTTTTAGCTCAAATTTATGAAAGCTAAACAATTGTAATTTATGAATACATCTAGATTTGTAAAACAACATATTCCATTCAGCTATAATTTCCATTCAACTATAATATTATTTGGCAAATTCTTATGCAGTGTACATCAAAATACATATAATATAAATTCATTTGCTTTCATTTCATGTACAACTACTCAATTTAACACATTATTTTCAAAGCTTCTTTGAAATAGTTTGTTTTCATCAGATGTTTTTATTACCCAATTTTGTAACAGGGATGATAAAATAATGAAATTCTGTGTGCAGTCTGTGCTCTCCTTGGCTGAATATTGGGATTAGCTTCATTTTTTTTAATACCGTGAAATCTGGATTGCATATTAATGGATGAGTACTTATATGCAATCACATGCGACATGTATAACCATACATTGATATAAACTTAGCTACATAAGACACGATCAGGATGCAGCCAACTTCTTAGAAGTTGCATTTTTACCTTTTTGCAATAACCAAATTATCATTCAAATAATGAAAATTTCTATATGAAAATCTTTGTTTCATATAGAAATTTTATTTACATATTGTTAATTCCAATACGTTTGTAATTTATGTATTTTTTCATTAAACTGTTTTAAGAATGTATGGTCAGCTTTTCTTTTGCAATCAGAAACTAAACTATATTCCGCATCCCAAACTTTGGAATTTTCAGTAAGTTAAACAGTTATCTTGGCATATCTGAATGATAACTCTTACTCCGAATGCAGCAATACAAATTAATTTTTAAACATAAGAAACATCTCAAAAGCAGCTTGTCAGATATCACAGGGAGGAAAGTGTTACTTTTTCTACCTCTTAAATTCTACTATAGCTTTTCAGCTTCTTTCTGCAAGGAATATTTAAACATTCTCCCAGTCTTCTTGTAATTCAAATGTAGTTCATTTTCTAATCATCCTGTCTCACCCTCTTTTTGTGTCATTTGCTTAGTTCTCCTGCTTAGCTTTCTTTCCAAAGAAGGGCTTTTCCAGATAAACTGATTTGTGCCTCATTCTAATCCTTTCCAGCCAGCACACTTTACAATATAGTTTTTAAATTATATTGCAGTCACTGTAAATGGAAGCCACAAAAGAGGGAAGAATCTAAAAAATGATCAAATTGACTTCTCATTATTTGTTCAATGATTTTCTCTTTCTCTCTGCACTGCTTGAATTATCCAATTTCCACTTATTGTGTTAAAAATGAGCAAGTCCAATAGTAATCATTTATATGTCATAATGGATTCTTTCGAGATGTATTCTCAAGTACAGAACTTTAACTATCAATGTTACACGTAATGGTTAGGAAAAGATACTGATTTCATAAGTTGATTTTATATTTTGGCACTCATGTGTTTTCCATTAATTAGAAAATAAAAGATATCATTATAAATGTCTCAAATTCTCCGAAGCATTCAATTTTGAAAACAATTCTGCAAAGATTTACTGGCAATCTCTTTTCACATGATCTTTACTCACTAAGATTAAAGAGGTATCTGCAGACCCATAATGCAAAGATCTGCAAAGATCTTTTTGGACAAGCCTTTAAAACTGGAAAGGTAGAACAAAGACTTGAAGAAGATGATCAGCAGCCAAATTGGTAAACTCAGCTACTTCAATAACAAGTATATTATCAGAAGACTTAAAAACCCTTAGTAGTGTCAGTCAGAAATAAGGTGTGGCTTGGCGCAACCAAAGGGACAGAATCCACATTATCTCTTTTAATATTCAGCTGAACAAAGGCAGGTCTTCCCATAAGATTGGAAGAACTCTGAATGCAGTTTGAAGCAAGTACCATATGTATAGATTTTTTGCTTTTACTTAGTTACTCAAGAGGAAGTTGACATACAGTGAAGTTACGGTATAGAAATTACAAAAATACTTGTGCATGCATCTTGTGGTCATTTATCATGTGTTCACAAGGTTCTGATTTTTTATGAAACTTGTCACAACACCAAACTTTATTTTGGCCATTTCAATATAAGAACATTTTAACAAATCATCAGCGTTATCAGAATCCTGATCAACATTAGGGACAAGTCATTATGGGGGGGGGGGGAATCTATGTAGTCACTGAGAGCTAACACCAATTTTATGATGCACAATCAATCACATAATCAAAAAAAGATATATGTGATGCATCGAGTGGTGTCAACCCAACGTGTTGTGAAAATTATTTTCTTCACGGTCAAAACAAAACAGGAATATTTGCCTCCTTAGCCAAGAGAAGCCTGACACATGCATTTGAATGAATAATATTTGAATCTGTATCCAAATATTAATATAATTATTAGTCCCACATTCAGCCAGGTGCTTAGACTGGAATTGGCATCAGCCTTTCTGTCCACACATGTTCAGGACTTCTAAGGTATTCAGGACATCTTGTTGATCTAGCCAAGAACAAATCCAGTATAGATTTCTGTAAATCAGTCCCCAACCCCCGGTCTCCAGACCAGTTGGGAACCGGGCTTTGCAAGTAGCTGACAAGTGCACGAAGCTCCATTTGGAGATGAATTGGATTAGGTTGTGAACAACAAACCATCCTCTTCCTTACCCTAACCCTGCCATTACCTCTGCTGGTCCGTGGAGTCAGAACGGTTGGGAACCAGTGCTGTGTATTACATCTCATTGTATTATCTGGCTCTTCAGATGAAACTTGTCTAGTGTGGCTTCATCTGTTATATAACTCCTATTTTGTTCAAACCACACAAGGCCTACAACATGACAAGATAGTGCCTCAGTGGTATTTATTCTAATAAATCACACATATTTTGTCCGTGGTGATCTGTATCGAATCTGGTCCTCCAGGTAAAGTCATCACTATTGTAACTGTCCACTTTGCTAGTAGTTATTCTATTGCTTTCTGCCCTTCCACCTTTCCAGACCTAGAGTTTTCTTTAGCAATAGCACTTAGACTTATATACCGCTTTAGAATACTTCACAGCCCTCTCTAAGCGGTTTACAGAGTCAACGTATTTCCTCCAACAATTTGGATCCTCATTTTACCCACCTCAGAAGGATGGAAGGCTGAGTCAACCTTGAACCTGGTGAGATTCGAACTGCCAAATTGCAGGCAGCCGGCAGTCACCAGAAGTAGCCTGCAGTACTAGACTCTGACCATTGCGCCACTGTGGCTAAATCTTAGAAAGCTAAATCTTTGCATAATGTGTCCAACATAAGATAATTTTAGACAGCTCATTTGTACCTAAATTGAGAACTCTGGGTTGATTTTTCTAAATGTCCATGTCTTCTTCAACACCAAAGTTCAAACCTATCAAGACTTTTTCCCCCTGAATTTAAGTCTTAATATTTTAAGTATTAAATAGTTTTAAAAAAACAATTAACTTACTCTAACGAATAGGTGATGTTATCCAAACCTGCATCTGCATGACCCACTGGTTCTACTCTGCTCTCCTCTTCTTCTGTACCATCATCATCCTAGTAATAGTAAAAGAGATAACCATATTTAAGCACAGGTGATGTGTAAGGATACTCACACAATTTTGATACTTAATTATTAAAATATTTTGCATCTTAAATAGCATACAGATTGTCTTTGGGTTACACAGCATTTGGGACTGGAATGGCTAAGGTGTTGGCTAGAAACCAGCAAGTGTTGAGTTCTAGTGCCACCTTAGACGTGAAAACTGGCTGGGTGTTGGCCCAGACACTCCTTTCACTAACCCCAAATCACCTACAGGTTTGTTATCATGTGGACAATGGCAAGTGGAAAGAGTATTGGTAAGGTGTTGTTGTGTATCCAATTACACTTGGTCAACAAAGAATTCTATTCATGAAAACAAAAATGTTTTTAAAAAAATGCACTTATATAACACAAAATCACATAACTGCATGGCTTAGCAACAGCAATTCCAACATATATCACTTTAAATAGCCTCTGATGTTGTTGGCACAAAGTACATACTTCTCAATTTCTACTCCAGATTGCACAACATTACCAGGCAGAAGTACCAACTACTTTTCAAAGCCTGCCTTAAAGAGACAACATTCAAATAGAATGCAAATAAGGTATGTGCCAGAACTGACATTTACAAGAGCAAGTTAAATCGGATAGTAAGCATCTGATTTGATGAACATTCAAAGCTTTCTTTCGTGAATTACACAGCATATTGCAACCCCTGAACAGAGTTGGTGTTTCCTCTTCCAGTATCCACAAGTACAGTGCTAATGACTATCAGAGATCCTTGACCAGTGTATGTGCCCATGATTTTATGCAAGGAAAAAACCCTAACAGACATTTGAAAGGAAGCATAAGGTCACGAAAGAGACAGAATTAGTACAGTTCAATTACAATTGCTCTGTTTACAAATTCACTTACTCTAATACACAAAGGTTTAAAACACTTAACCATTTTTTTAAAAAAAATAAAGCTATTTGCATGATAAATATAAAAAATATTAATATTTTAACCACCTGATACGTAACAATTGTGGGGGTGTTTAATCTTAGTAGGTAAACTCAGATTTTTGTCAATTTTTTGTCTAATCTACATTACTAGGATTCCTGATAGGCTTATATCCAAATATTAACCAGTAGTGACTTGCCTAATTTCCAATCCCAAAATGGGTAAAGAGGAACCAACTGCACAATTTCAGAGAAACATGAATGTCTTTAAATGCTCATTTGTATGAATACTTTGTCTACTGTCCTACAATCAGCAGTTTAAATTCAGATTTGCTGAAGCATCAATCAGTAAAATGATATGTATTGGATGATGGGTTATGAATTCAGCCCAAAGAGAATCAATAATGTGAATTATTAATGAGATATTAAAACAAAGCTAAGACATTTGGTATGTCCAAGTGGTATTTCCTCTGAGGGCTTCTTACGAGTTCTTACTACAAACTATATTGTAGACCAAACTGCTAAATGAAAGAACATTGTGTGAACCTAATACATACATACATGCACGCACACACACACACACACACACACACACACATGACTTAGATACTGCAATTGGATTTATTTGTAAATCTCAACAAAATTTAGCATTTATAAGTTATTCAACAGCATATATGTGCCTATACTTAATTTATTTTATTCTATATAAATTTATATAAACTCTTGCAGCAAGATCTCATTACACCTCTACACAAATGCACTACCATCAAACTATTCCCCAAATATGAAAAATTATAATCACTAAAATGTTTAATTGCATTAAAATGTGATGCCTGGTGCACAACTGAACAAGAAAGGTTTAATTCTTATAGAAGATCTTCCAAGTATTCAATTAGCCAAGTACAGAATTAGCCAAGAATTTTTTACGGAATATGCAGGCTTAATTATGAATGAAAGAAATAAAATCTATTTTTGAATGAATTAATCTCATCTATCCTTAGACTGGTAACAGTTCACACTTCAGTGAGCACTGATAATGGAAGAACCATAGATGGATTTGAGAGAGAAAATGTATGACAGTCTGAATTAATGTGACTCAAGGAAAAAATATTCTTTTAGGTTACATAATAGTAATGGTACAGAAAAAATTATTGGATCATCAGGAAATTCAGAAATGAGTAAGACTAGTAACTACTTCTTAGAAAAAAACACATCTTTTTGCTTCAAATACAAGACTAAATACATGATTCTACTCAAACATTACCATGTCAAAATAAATATAAATTTAGAACAAAACAAGCAAAAATGGCTATCTACAAGAGTGTGCCTCTGTCCAACATGTTAAATATAAATGACTCTTCTTGTTCGATGTAAATGAGTATTTGTCAGGGAATTGAGCTGCAAGTGTCTAAATGAAGTCAGAGACACTGACATATGTAGTATTATATAAATACATACATTTCACATTTATATTTAAAGCAGACAAGATAGTAACACAGTAACATCATGAGGTAAATCTTCACACAGTTTACAGAATATACAGAAGAAGAAAAGGGCAGGGAAAAGGGAAAACTCCTCCTCTACACCCACTGCAATCAATCATACAGAAGCCGACAATCTCCATCCATTCAACTACAACTGTGTGTTCTGGACCATTGTACACTTTATTGTTCCAGCTATTAAAATTAATATTCTAACAATATTGAATCATTTAAGATAAATATAAAAGTAGGTTGAAAGCAGGGGAACTGGGTTACCAAAAATCAAACAAACCTATACATAGCAAAATAAGAACTGGTAGAGTCAAGAATGAATGGGTCTTGAATATCTGTGGATTATACACAAAAGCAACTAATCAGGACAAAAGAAGCATGCAAAAGAAGGACATTGTATGGACTCAATGGCTAGCCTAGTATACAATCCTGGAATGTGCACAATGAGCATGGCAGTGGCAGGAAAACCTAGGTCAGGTCCATGGGTGAAAGTGGACGCTGTGTGGGGAAGTGCTGTTTGGGGTGACACAGCCGAATTGGAGGAAGTGCTCTTGGAAAACTAGAATGTAGGTTTCATGGAGGAGGAGAGGCAAGTCCATTGCCAGCAGAGCTTATCTTCTGTTCACCCTTGGTCCAGCTTTCTTCCTGAAAAGCCTCATGAACAGCCAGCAGCCTCACCCTCACCCATGTCAGGATCCTGGCCTAGCGATAGGAGGAAGATGATGAAATTCAGCTACAGCAATGTGGGACAGCCAGGTGCAGGGCAACCGAAAGGGCAGAGGTGAAACAGGTGGGAGTTGAATCAAAGGCAAGTATTTCAGAAGAATGAGGTCCTCACCTAACAATGCTGTCTTAGCCTAGCAACCAGAACTACTGGAATTACCATTTCTAACAGTATGGTCTTGTGATAGAATGGAATGGAAAAGAAAAGAAAGAAAAGAAAAGAAGAGTTGGAAGGGACTTTGGTGGTTGGACTAGGCAGGAAACCCTACATCACTTCAGACAAATGTGTCAAATGCCCCCCCTTTTTTTTCCAAATTTACTACTAACGCTAAGGGAATAGTATACTGTTTCGATTTCATATGGTAATCTAAGTCTAAAAATTATGTCTCTCAATTATGACACTTAGAGTAAGATAAGCTTCTAAACTTCACTGGAGTATTGGTACCATGATACTATAATCAACAGATACATCCCTTAAAAAACATTTTAATAGTGCCATAATCAGCAACTCTTTTCTTTTCCATACAACACAGATTTTCATTTACATGGAACCAAACATAGATTAATTTGGACACCTGCACAGGGAAGTAACTTAGAATTCTCATTTACTAAAAAAAGTAACTAGCTTTGAAAGTATCTACATCAAGCAATTATTGCCTCGGATTTCTTCTTAAATTAAAAAGCCCACCTGTTATAGAGATAAATTAGACATGCTATATTTTATTTACAGGCAGGGAAAAGTTTGAGAATGAACTATTTAGCAAATTTAGCCAAAATGCTTTGTATAAGAGTAATTTTTATAAAACATTTAATACCACTTTACCTTACCTATGTTATTAAAAAGTCTGGATTACTAATGTTATAGATTATGAGAAGCATCTTTTTTTAAAAAAAATTAAAGATTGTAGTATTTGGACATACAGTATCAGACTGGGGAAACTGAAGAATATCCACATAACTGCACATGAATAAAAACATATTTAATAATGAATTACTATAGATAAAATATTGCTCCGTACTGATTAAAGCTCTTTGGAATTCCATTTTCTAAATCATTAAGAGTATTTACCTCATGAATATCTTTTCTCTATGTAATCACAATTGGACTATGCCTTATCTGTGTATCTGAATATACTTCAATGGATTTCCTGTAATCTTCACTTTACGATTACCGGCTAAAACTACTCAGAGAAGCAATCTTCAAACATAAAAGAAAAGATATGCAATAACACTTTTGGAAACAACTCAGTCACACTTCCAGGAAAAGCTTTTTCCCCCCTTATTTCTGTGGCAGGATACTCTTCTGCCACCTAAGATTTCCAGGCTTTAAATATGAGGGCTTTTCCCCATGTAATATCCATGAGCTACTTTTTTTTTTAATAAGCTTCATATTTCCTGGCTTTCTTATGACTGCCAATTTCTTCCTTATCTTTCTAGATTAAGTAAACCATCTGTTCTTTTTATCCAGATTTGAGATGAATAACAGATGAAACATGATTTCCAGTTCTGCTTTTTAAAGATATCAGTAATAGAGAAGACTGGAACACACAATAGAAGGATCAAATATGAAAACTCAACGCAAGGTGCTGATGACAAAGCCATGTTTTGTGAATACAATGAATTCACCATATTTGAAATATCACAAAAATCAGTGCAATAAAACAGGATGTAGCTTATTTTTCCTCTATTATGGCTATTTTGAACATCATTCAAAATCCTGATTTAATGCAAAGCTCACAAGGAAGAATAAACTACATAGAGTTTCAATTTCTCTTTAGGACATGAATGATGAACTGGTGATTCTGCATATATTATTACATGTTAAATCCTAAGCAACCTGGGTAGCATAGACGATTG